TGCCTCTTGCTGTCTCTCCTCTTCCAGGGTCTCAGTTTGTGGTAGCAGTCTCCATTTCCTTAAACCTCAAAAATTTTAAAGCGGGACGGGGGTTTAGGACTATTGAGGGGGCTTTATTATTGTGTGCAGGCGAAATTTAGCTCAATTGAGGGGGCCTTTCCACTATTGTGTGCAGGCGAAATTTAGCTCAATTGAGGGGACCATTACTAATCACGAGCTCACATTAGTTTAGAGAACTACCCACATAAACCTGTTGCAGTCCTTTTGCTGCAGAGCATTCCTTCAGGTGTGAAAGGTGTGGCGTTCGGCGTCTGGGCTGTTGGGCCATGGAGATACCCCAAACCCTAAACCCTCAGGATTCAGGATTGGGGGCCCCCCAAGCTTTCCCGAAACCCTGAACCCCAGACCCTGGAACCTGTAAACCGCGCAAAGTACGCCTTGAGCCCCAAACCCTAAAGCCACAGGCTACAGACCCTAAAGCCTAAGCCTTGCTTAAGCAAAAGCCACAAGCTACACTCCCGAAGCCGAAGGCCTCGAATCCTACGACCCTCAACCCCAAACCCCGAGAGAGAGTCTCGGAGCACCTAAAAAGAAAAACCAAACCCTATCAACCCCTAAACCCCAAACCCCATACCCTGAACAACCATAAATTCTAAATCCTAAACCCTAATCCTTAATCCCTAAACCCTAAACCCTAAACCCTAATCCCTAAACCCTAGACCCTGAATCCTAATTGCTAAGCCCTAAACCCTGAATCCTAAACCCTACAACCCCAACACCTAAACGAAAGGCGGGCCTTGGATTTCGCACGCGGTGCATCGGGAGCTGCACAGAAGGCCAAAGAGGAGGCTATGAGCCAGGACACCTCCAGTGGTTCAGGGTTTGGGCTTTAGGGTTCAGGGTTTAGGGATCAGGGTTTAGGGTTTAGGGTTTGGGGTTTAGGGTTTAGGCTTTAGGGTTCAGGGTTTGGGTTCGGGTTCACTAGGATTTAGGGCTCTTCATTGCATTTGGCATGCAGGGCGTATCCTCCCTTATGGGGCTTAAGCGGATAGTCTTTACGAGTATGATCCGAATGCTTTAAAGGGCCAACCTGGTAAGCCCCTAAACCCCTACCCTATAAGTCCTTTAGGCCCTACACTTTCCTTTTTGTTACTAGATCATTGCCGTCCTAAGGGGGTCCCTGGGGCTGTTAGGGACCCAGGCTCAGTCCCACACCCCGTGTGGGTTTAGGGTTAAGCAGGTGATGTTCGCAAGGGCCACTCGATTGGTAGCGCTCAGAGGCTCCGAGTTTGCCCAAAAGAGTCAACCTCGCCCACAACATCACAAGCAAACTCGCAATCCTTGTAAACCAGGAAACCCGTAAAGGCTCTTTCAACGGACTCTGAACCGCTAAACCCTGAACCCTAAACCCGGAACCCTAAGCCCTAATCCCTAAATCTTAAACTTTGAACCCAAACCTGAGCCACAAAACCCAAAAGCTTAAAGTTCAAAGCTTGAAAGCCTCTTTCCCCCGAAGTTGAATTGAAACCTGAAGTCTAGACCCCCCCAAGCATTGAATCCCATCCCTCACACTCTATAAATCCTAGGGTTTAGGGTTTGGGGTTTAGGATTTGGGGTTTAGGGTTTGACCCCTAAACCGTCTAGCCTCTAACCCATAAACCGTAAACTCTATACGCTGTACGAGGAGCCTCCGCGCGCGGACCCCCTCTTCCGGGCACCTCCACAGCCGCCCTCGGATGGTGCCAAGGCCTTCAAGACGTTTTCTTTTAGGCGGTGTTTCTGTGGGTTGTAAGTTAAGTTGTGTAGGGTTCCCGAAACCCTAAACCCTAAACCGTTTCAACAGTCGGATTTTCTCAGGTGCTCTTCCTTCTCTTACGCAGAAGCCAAAGAGGGCTGACAGGGTTTAGGGTTTCGGGTGTTTGGGGTGGCTTAGGGCTTACAGTTTCAGGTGCAAGATCGTGTGCCTTGGCATGTCGTTGTTCAATTTCTTCGGTTTGGGGTTTGCCATTCCCGGTCGCTGGGTCGTAGGACTGGGGAGAAGATACCTGCAACTTATCCGGAACTCTTTACCTAACACCAATCATAAACCCGACCTGCAACCCACACAGCCTTCAACCGAAACCGTGAACAACGCTAAGAATTCAGATCTCCTTAACGCAGAATCAGAGGAAATAAACCCTCCAAAGCTCTGGGGAACTGGAGCCAGAGGGAAGTTTGAAAACCTACCAAAAGTCTCCACTGTAGTTCCTTTTGGGGGATACATTACAGAATCCTTTATATATATATATATATATATGATCCCGGTTCGGCCGGCCCCCCCCCCCTCCCCCCCCCAATGGTTCCTCCTCCCCCTCCCTGTGGTGTGGGGTGGTTGTGGGTTGCTTCCCCCTCCCTGCTGTGGTGGTGTCTTGTGGTTGGGGAG